CTCAACACCATGCAGTACCCGCGCCCTTCCAGCGGGGGCATGCTCTCCTCCTCCCCCGACTGGCCGGGCAGCGGGGCTCGGCTCCGGCAGCAGTCCTCTTCCTCCAAGGGAGACAGTCCGGAGATGAAACAGCGCACGATGCACAAGCAGGTCAGTCGGCCGGAAAGGTTCTTTGTAAAAGGCGGCTGGCCGGGAGTGAGCCCCCCCCCCGTCGAGCCAGCCCAGATCCAAAGCGAGGTGGGTGCGTGGGTGAGGCCAGGGCCAATTGAACAAGAGGGGGTACAGGAGAGTGCGTGGGTGGGTTGGGTGGGTGGAGGTCTACCTGTGGCCCACAGAGATAAAAAGAAGGCCTCCCCCCCCCAATCTGTGAATTTTGCTTCTCCAGGGGAACACCCACTCCGTCTTTTAGATCGGTGGTCCAGAGCAGCGACGGGTGGTCCCTCCGTCCCTCGTTCCGCTCTGCCCTCCAGCTCGCTGCTTTGCCCGTCCATGTTCACCCGCTTGCCCATCCCATGCCAGATCCAGTGCCATCTCACAGGCTTCACTATGCCCTGTTGCTGCGCCCTAAAACTCTGTACTTGGTGAGGACCATTCCGCGAAGGCCAGGGAGAGATTGAGAGAGAGAGAGGACAGTTTACTCGCCCCCTTGGCATCCAGGGTGAAAGGGAATTGGGTCGTCCGGGTGCGTAGTTCCCTGGACAGCCAAACCTGCCGGGTCCCTATAGGCCTCCCCAGCTGCAGCCCTGTTGGGTGTTCCTCACTCAAAAGGATCTAGAACAGTGGGTCCCACCCAACCTGGGGTCCCCAGATGTTCTTGGACTGCAACTCCCAGAAATCCTGGCCAGCACAGCGAGCGGTGAAGGCTTCTGGGAGTTGCAGCCCCCAAAACATCTGGGGACCCCAGGTTGGGCACCCGGTGAAGGCTTCTGCGAGTTGCAGCCCCAAAAACATCTGGGGACCCCAGGTTGGGCACCACTGACCTCGTACAAGACTCCTGTGGTGGTTGAAAATCCTGCCAGACCTGTTTTGACCCTAGAGCCTCGAAAAGTGACTTTGGGGTACAAAGCCTAGTCTGGCCACTCACCATTCTGGCTGGGGGATTCTGGGAATGGTTGTCCAGAAAAGTTACTTTCCCAGAACAGGGCGGAGGGGAGGAGGGGGTATGGAAGGGAGCTTGGTTCCCCCTTCCCCCCACCCACCTGTCCCATGGCTGATGCCGTTGCCCCTTGTGCTTCTCAGCTGCGTCCTTTCCCAACGATTAGCTGGAAACACAATAAATAATGAAGCTGCTTGTTCATGTTCAACCGTGCTAATTGTTATTTGAGAGCCAATTATGCCTGAGCCGCAGAGCCGCGTAAGACCTCATTTGGTGTGGCTGCCAGGCATGACACAGCTTCGCTACACCCCGACGGGTGGACCCCATTGCGGTTCGACATGGCCTCCCAGAGAGACTGGACGACGGCTCCCATTCTCCCCTGGCTCTTGTCTGTGCTGGCTGGGGCTGATGGGAGTTGGAATGCCAAACCTCGGGCAGGGGCCATGTTGGGGAAATGCTGGTTTTAGCACTCAGTTCTGGCGGAATAGTTAGAAGCCCAAGCGGTGGGCTTGGGAGGCCCTCTGTCTCAGGGGTCAGCTGCAAACAGACATGGGAGTCTTCAGAAGGACATGATCCTCTCGACCTCCCCAGCTGTAGGGGCAAGAAAAGCAGCACTTGGGGGGGGGGAGAGAAGGTTTCAGACCGGGTGGGCGATGTTAGAGGTGGTTGGATAGTCACTTCTTGGAGCCCGACTCAGGGTGGCCGAGGGAGTTGATTCCAGCAGCATTTGGAGGCTCAAACGTTGCCAACTCTCTTTTGTGACAAGACCGGAAAGGAAAGGGGGTTTTGGACTACAGCTCCCCAAAGCCTTCACTACCCGCTGTGCTGGCCAGGATTTCTGGGAGTTGCAATCCAAGGACCCAAGCTTGGGAACCATGGCACCGGACATTTTGGACAACAACCCCCCCCCTCAGCCCCAGACCCCAGGGGGTCTTGAGAGAGTGTTTGATCCCCCTCCTTTTGGAAAGCATAAAAGTGAACTCTTACTCGGTGCTGTCTCTGTCTTTGGGCAAAAGGCATCGTTTCAGTGGTTGGTAGAAAACTAAAGTGGAGAGAGATTTAGACCTTCCGAGTGTAGAGGTCAAGCGTGTTTGCGCTTTCTGTTCTTTGGGCAAAGGAGTCTGAAAGAGGTGGGCCTAGGAGTAAAATGCTAAACGGAGGAAACTGAGGAAAGGGACCCCCAGGGCCCAAGCATTGGGCAGGTGGGTCCTGTGGTCCATCTCTCGCGCGTGCCGCCGCTTCATGTCCATGTTGGTTTCCATTTCCCCTTTTTTTCCCCCCTCCCTCTTTTTCGCTCTGGTTGTGTGTTTCATCTTTTAGGCCCCTTCTCCTGTGAACCCCAATGCCTTGGACCGCACGGCCGCTTGGCTTTTGAATATGAATGTGCAGTTTTTAGAAGAGGAAGGCAGTGACCCAGAGCCCAAGCACAGGGATAAGGCCCGGAGTAAAGAGGAGTTCGGCCATGGGGAAAAGGTAACGCTGGAGGGGGACGTGGCCGCAGCCTCTCCAGAGAATCAGAGAAAGAAACAGAAAGGATGATTGCCTTTCAGAAGCACCGCTGGTCTTCAAACCTCAGGACTTTACAGGGCTCACGGTTGCCCCCCCCCGTCTCCTCGCCCCCCACTCCCACCCAGTACCTTTAAGGCAAAGAAGAGGTGGCTTTCATACAACCTGCTTCAGCTTCTCTCTCGCTTTGAAGGGGCTCTGCCTTCAAACTCTGTTCTCCCCTCCCATCCTGGCTCCCTCTCCCCTCCTCTCATCCTAGAAAGCCACAAACGGTCCTGTGTCACCTTAAAGACCCCACACTTTGCTCGGCAAGAGCTTTCCTAGACTAGGAATCCCACTTCTTGGGAGGTGGTGGCGAGTGAAACGCCACTGCTGCCACCCCAAGAGGATATAACATACCCCGTCCGGCTCCATGTTCTGCCTCTGGAGCTGTGAGGGCTGCCGTCCGTGAAACATCCTCTCAGATCAAGCCTGGGGGGCTCCTGGAGGACCGTCGGCCGCCTGAACCCCAGGCTGGCCTTGTCAAACATTTTACAAGAGTTCAAAATAATAGGACCGTCATTTTCAGAGCGCTATAAGACTTCAAGGCTGCCTTCTCTCACCTTGCGCTGCTCAGTTGAAAGGAACGGGGTGGCCCTGAAAATACCTTCTGGGATTAATGCCACCTCCCCCAAATTGAGCCGATTTGCTTCAGACTCAGTTAAGTGACCCGATTGCCGTTCTGCTGCCCCTCTGGGTCTCCCTCGCCCACGGACGGGTCGCCCCCCCCCAGTTATTGTACTGCTGATGCCGACAGTAGAAGCTCAGGGGCCCAAGACCCAGGCGATAGGACGTGTCAGGCCCCATTGACCCCAGATCGGTTCATTGCCCCAGAAACAAGCCCACAAAACGCCTTGCTTTTCGTCTTTCCTTGCATCTAATTATTTCTGCTCCCCTCACTTGCTCTGTCACGGCCACGCACACCTCCTCATGAATAGCAACGCTTCCTGCGGCTGGCCGAAAGGGCTGGCCCGAGGCAAGGGGGCTGACCAAAGCGGAGGGGATCCATGGGGTAGAGGGGTGGGAAGCGAGGCAGGAGAGGGGCTGGACGTGAGGGCACCCATGGACCTTCGCTTCTCTCCCACCCACCCCCAACCCTCACAGCAGTATCAACAGGACCTGGCCATTCTCCAGGACAAGCTGCGGATCTCCAATAAGAAACTGGAGGAGTACGAAGCCCGCTTCAAGTGCCAGGAGGAGAACACGCAGAAACTGATGCTGGAGTATCAGGCGAGGTTGGAGGAGAGCGAGGAACGGCTGCGCCGCCAGCAGGAGGACAAGGAGATCCAGATGAAGGGCATCATCAGCAGGTGGGGGCCCAGGCCGTGCCCAGCATAAGCCCGCCCCGCCTGCCGGGGAGACACAAATGCAACAAAAAGACTTTTGTTGATAAACTTCCCCCCAAGTTTCTAGTCCTTCGCACCGCTTTGGAAGGAGTGAGTTGCAAGTAACAGTTTGCTCCTTTTTAAAAATATTAACAATGTAACAGAGTTGCATCCCAAAAGCCTCACCGCAAGCTACTCTGTTGATTTATAATGAGTTACTTTGTAAACTCACTTTTTAAAGGCAGGAACTGGTGATACTTTTAATCGACCATTAAGAATAATAAAAAACAAAAAGCGAGCTTTCAAGGCAAATCATCTTCAAGGCTGTCCCTCACGTTCTTGTGGGGTAGTCCCAAACACAGGTGCTGTTTTTAATGTCCCAAATTCACCCGGCTGATGGTGTAAGAGAGGCCAGGTTGGCTTCTTAAGAGGGAAGCGGCTGCGTGTTGTCCATGTTCGATTCAGGCTCTTCTTCAGCTAGCAATTTGGAATTTATGGCCCATCTCTTAAACCAAAGGACAGTCACAGGCAACCTTCTCCCTTTTTGAAACTCAAGGGCCTTGTTGACAAGGTCAGTTTTTTGTGGAAGGTTTCTTGTAAGTTTTATGCCATTCTCTTATCAGTCCTTAAGATTTATTTTAAAAAAAAGAGAAACAACTCAACATGTAATGCAGGGGGATGAAATACGGCAATGGCTAACAAGGAATTACTTTTAAAATCGTAAGGAGGGACAGGAACAGGTTGTTTAAAAATGTAACTTCCAAGCTTGGGTTATTAAGATCAGAAAGAAAGGACTTGAGATCATCTTAGCGCCTTACATGGCTCTGCCAGGTAGGGACGGAAGGATGAAGAAGTCAGCGTGGCCCCGTGTTTGACGCCCAAGTACATCTGTACTAAAACTTGTCAATGCTCTTTTTAAAAAATAATAATAATAATAATTAAGTGCAGTGAAGTTATAATTCGGAGGTAACCTGAGCAGGAAGGAAGCTACATTATTGGTGTCGCTTGTTCAGTATTTTCCAGTTAAACTACAAAGACGTTTTCCTTAGAGGCCCTTCAACTGACCGTTTTTAAACTGTTACGGCCTTTTCTTATCAATCTTGAGGTTGTTTGGTTTTTAGTAACCAGAAAGAAAGCGAGGGACAAGAGTGAAATTATTTATACTGTAATAAGTAATTACAGTGAATTACTTTTTAAACACTGTAACAAATGATGAGAATAGGTTCCTTTTTAAAAAGGAACTTTCCCGATTCTGATCCATCCGTCCTGGCGACACCTAGGTGACCGCTAGGGCTGGAGGACTTTCCGTTTGACCCACCCCCTCTTCCCAGTAGTGACTCACGGCTAGAATCCTTTCATCTTAAGATATTTTCTGGCTTCCCTTAGTTTAACCTCTTGCTCCAGGCCTGGAGCCAGGATTTTTGCTACAGAAGGAAGGAGGCAGAGGGCACTCTCATCCATCAACATGAAACAGCACTATTTGGAGGGAGGGGGAAAAAATGAATAAATCCTAAGCTTAAATCTCTGGCTCATGTCCCACCCGCAGGCTGATGTCAGTGGAGGAAGAACTGAAAAAGGATCATGCGGAAATGCAGGCAGCCGTGGATTCAAAGCAGAAGATCATAGACGCACAGGTGGGCAACTCTGGATTGGGGGGGGAAACATACCCCCTCAAAAAAATCAGCTAGAACACCCAGAGAGAAACCCAGCAGGGAAGCTGGAGAGAAGGAGTTGAGGTAGCACATAAGTGGGGGAGGGGCAGACCTCCAGGAGGGTTGGACTACAAGTCCCATGAGCCTCAGTGCCGAGGGATGAAAGGAGAGCTTATTTCAACATCTGGAGGTTCGGCACGGCACCACTTCCGACCCTAAAGGTTATGAGGTTTGACGAGGCTCATGTGCTGAAAAAGTCGGCGCTCCAAATTCCGCGGATGCAGAACTATTAAGTATGCGGAACACGCTGGGCTGCTGTAGAACCTTTTTCTGCGTTTCCCCCGCTTTGTCTCGCTTCTGGGTCATTTGTCCATCAGGAAGGCACGATCAGAGTGGTGCAGGGGAAAATCATGGTGGAAATAATGAGAGCGCATGCTACCCATGGGTTCTGGGGTCCAGACAAGGCACTCTGGCGCTTCTTTCTGAGCTGTCCCTCCTTGGTTGCCAATGTCTTAAATCTGGCACTACGCCTCTGCAACCCAGTAGCATCTGTTTAACTTTGCTGAGCCTCCCCACCCCTGCCAGTAACAGAGCAGCAGAAGCTTTCTTAGTGTGATACGTACACGCTAAGCTGTGAAGGAGAGGTCACCTCTCAACCTTCTCCACAGAGGGGTTAAAGCAAACAGCAAAGGGAGAGGGAGGGAGCAGGGAGAGAGTTATCCGAGACGCTCCAGGGATTTGCGTAGCTTCTGATTTCGAAGAGGTGGCCTTCCTCTGCGGCTCTGCTGTCATTAGCAGGCAATCAGAGAAGCTGCTGGCCTATGCAAAGACCCCGGTTGGCTGATCCGTTAATTAGTCTCTGGGCACTATTCAATATCGAAAAATCAGACAAGTCACTGAGAGATCTTAATCCAAGTGTGGCTGGAAAGGGGGTTCTGGCTCACGCAAAGCGGGGAGGGCTTTTCTAGCCGCACAGCACGCGGCAGGGAGGCGGGAAAGGAAAGGGGGGCAGTTGCGCCCATTCCCGGGGCAGAGCGGCCTCCTTTTGGGGCAATCAAGTCTTACAGCCCCCCCCTTTTTTGGTGCAACAGAAGTGAATGTACAATTTTAAACCAAGGCTGTCAGATCGGTGAAATAACTCCCAATTGTATTATTGTTACACTGCAGTGTTATGTGAGATAAGTGGAACGCTGTTCAGGGGAATTCACCTCTGAATAACAGATACGAGGGAACTCGTAGCAAGAGGGAACTGCTAGATATAGCTCAGTGGCTGAGGTCTCTGGCTGTGGAACCAGAGGTCGGGGGTTCGATTCCGCCCCCCCCCCAGGGGCCTCCTTGACAGGGGCTGGACTGGATGATCCAGAGGGTCCCAGCTCTGCTGTTCAAAAATTATTACCAAGTCCGCATCCTGCCTGCAAGCTTCCTGGAGGCCCCTACTCAGCCCGTGCAGGAAACCAGGGCTGGATTAAATATCCTTTCTGGCGTGATCTGCTATGTTTCTGTATATTCCATTTATATACAGCAATTGTGTGTGTGTGACCAAGACAGGGTTGCCACTTCCTGTCTTCCAACCTTCTGGCTTCTTTTCCCACTGCAGGAGAAACGCATTGCCTCCCTGGACGCAGCCAATGCCCGGCTCATGAGCGCCCTCACCCAGCTGAAAGAGAGGTACAGCACACAGACCCGTAACGGGATCTCCCCCACAAACCCAACTAAATTGCAGATTACAGAGAACGGCGAATTCCGGAACAGCAGCAACTGCTAGCCGGCTGGGAGTGGCTGCAGCAGGGAAGGAAGAAAAAGAGAGAGAGGAGAGAGAGAGAGAGGAGAGAGAGAAAGCCTGCGCAGCGGCAGCGACAGGAGGAGTGGGCCATGCGGCAGGAGGGGTCCGTGCTCCCCCAGGCCCTCCCCGAGTGTGGCGGGGGGTTTGGAAACAAGCTGGCCCGCTGTTCTCTTCACCAAAGATGGCTCGCCAGACCACAAACACAGAAACCCTGCTGCCTCCGCGGGATGGGGATATGGCGGCCATCAGTGGTGGGGCAGGGGCGAGCTGGTGGTGGCCCCTTAGCATTAAAGCGATTCAACAGCAACGAGAAGGAAGGAGGACGTGGAAGCTGGAAGTGCTCCCAGGGGAGGATCCGGGCCAAAGAATGAGCTAGCAGGACTGCTGCAGAAATGTTGCCGAACCAGCGCCTCCTCCCCTCCCTCCTTCCCTGCCTGCTTCCTCCCCTATCCTGGTGCTCAGTGGCTGATGCAGCTTCATCATCATCATCATCATCCACGTGCCCCGCTGTGCTGCTCTGGGTTGTTCTCTCCGGCTCCGTTCCACAAAGCCTGCTGTACTCTCTGATTCGGGATGTGTCCTCTCTCGCAGTCGTAGGTCCCAATCCAGCAGTTTTCCCCAAGATCAAGATGGGTTACGAGGGAGTCCCACTCCCCCGTCTTCCCTTTTCCTCTCCAGGGAGCAATGCTGTTTGCCAGAGCACAGAAACAAAAACAGGCCGTGGGGTCCTTGGTGGAGTTTGTAGGCACCTCTGAATGAAAGGAGGCGGCGGAAGGGTGATGTAGGGGGTTGGAACAAGAAGTCTGAGGGCTTCTCTAGGGGCCTCACTCTGTAGCTGAGGGCCTGGCTTGCAGTCAGAACATCCCAGGCTCCATCTTGCAGTGTCTCCCATTAAAAAAGGAGCTGGTTTGACTTGCATCCCTGCGTGGGATGGGGAGGAGGCTGAAGGCAGGGTGACCGGGGGCCTCTCAGGTTCAAGCCTGGGGCCAGGGCCCTCAACCGGCCCGTTTTCTTCGGCTTAAGTGGAGACCCAACCCCATCTTCCCCTTCAAGCAAGCAGGATTCCCTCCCCAAACACACTCTCTTGCCATCTAGCTTAGCCGACTGGTGGTTTGCAAACAGAAAGGGCGTGGTGGGCATTCCCACAGCCTCCGGTATTTGCTGCTAAACAGAAAAAGGAGGAAGAGAGAGAGAGGAGAAAAGAAAAGGAAAAAATGAGTATCTTCCTCCTCGGAAGCATGAAGATTGGTAACTCCTGTCTCTTTTCTTTCACAGTATGCGTTAGGAATAAAAACAGTCAAAAATCAAAAGCAGTCCACTTTCTGGAGTACTATCCTCTTTTAATTGGGAGTGGGTGCTGCGTGGGAAGTTAACCACCCCGAAGGCCTCAAAAAGGGACTAACGGACGAGGAACGCGGCCTCCGAAACGTGTCTCTCCCCTTGTCAGAAACGCTGGGCAGCCGTAAGCCACGACGGGGCCCCTTCCTAACTGTTCCCACCATCGCTTAGCCGAGGGGCCGGCAGCGGGGTGCCCCGGGGGCGGCATTACTAACCTCTAGCCAGCGTGTGGGTTGGTGGCGTGTCGGTCTGAAAGCTGTCGGTGCTGTCAAGTGTAGGAGAACAGGGTGCTTCCCTTCCGCCCTCCCCCTCTCGAGAGCCCAGTTGGGCACGCAAGACGGTCACGGAAGTAACCAGGACATCCGCCTCTCGTATGTGGCCCCAATGTGCTTGGTGAGAGTCTATGCGCTCTTTTTCCAGCTGCCTGGCTCCTTGCACAAACCAGGAGCTTCATACAGCAACCCCCCCAATACAGACACGCACACATGGATCGTGAATGCAGACCGCAATGAGAATAAGCTTTCCCCCCCTCCTCATCTCCACCTTCTATCTATGGAGATGTGGTTTCTAATATACATTTTTTTTAAAAAACCACCCACAAAAAGCTGAAACTCACGTTCCGCTCCACGGTTGCACAGGAGACCCAACTGCTCTGGATCTTTCAGACAATCATGCTATGTTTCTCCACACCGAGCTCTCCGAGGAACGAGCGCCGTACCACAGGCGTCCCTGAAAATGAACGTTCAAAGCATTCTTTCTTGCTGCTGTGTTCCCTCTCCCCAGTCGGTCCCCCTCTTCCCCAGAAAATACCCACTGAATCATGGGTAGGGGGGGATTATCTCAGCTCGGTGCACCAAGAGAAGAATGTGTCAGCATTAACGGACTGTGAATGCTGGGTCAGCACAGTGGGGCTGGATTTCCCATTCATGGGATGGTACTCCCTACATAAACGCCCCCTCTGTGCAAAAGCTCTGCTCCGGTGGGGCTGGTTTCTGTGCCCCCTTGCCCGCTTTGGACAAACCCACCTGGGCATTTTCCCAATGGCCCTTTGGCGGTGGAGCTGCTGCGGGTCTAGGTTTCTGCAGGTTCCTCCTGGAATAATGGGGAGCGCTCTTTTAATGGCCAGCTCTGTGACCAAAAGCATCTTGCCACTCGGCCCACCCATTCTTCCATTCGAATGTGGAAGGCTGAGAAAACCAACGCAGCCCTCTGTTGGCCACGAAACCTGGACCGGCCCATGGTTTAATCTCCTTGCCCCCTTCTTGCCAGCCTTCAGGCCTCCAGGGGATTTTGGGGGGGGGGGAGAGGCTGGAGCGCCTTAAGCAGACAAATCCCAAGTCCCATCCAACCTCCGTCTCTTTTCTGGTGCCTCGCTTTGCTTATTTATAAAACTGTCGCACAGGCGGGTGGGGATGGCTACCATCGCCCTTTGTGGGATTTTTGCCCTCCGAACGGTGTCTGTCAGCCTTGCCCAAAAAGGGACACGATCCGGTAGCCACGGTGCATCCCTCGGGTCCCGCCTCCTCTTTCTCTACTCTTGCGATTTCTGCCCTCAACACTTGTTATGTAATACAATCTGTAAAGCTTTTTTTCTAATATATAATAATAATAATACTACACAGATGGTTATGAGTAGAAGTCACACAGCTTCTCTTTTGTAAAACAGTGTTTTGGAGTGTCTGGTTATCACATGGCGTTTTTCTGCAACTGTACAAAGTGCATTCCATCCAAACAGTAATGCTGCATTGACTAGAGATGTTCGATCTGGTGTTTAGGGTGGTATGGGGTGGGTGGGGGGTGGATGGAGCTGGGCTGCCAGGCCACCGGCGTGCAAAGTTCAGACTGGCAAAGCAGCTACTCCAAGGTGGCCCAGCCCGTCACTGGTCTTGCCCCCATGCCAACATGGGAATCACGTGCATCCTGAAAGACGACAGATTGGAGGGGGCCCTGCTCCCGTCACAACCTTTTATTCTGAATCGCAAGAGTGCTTCCTCGAGGACAGGGCAGGCTCAGAAGAGACAGGGTGTGATCCAAAGCAGGACCTGCCACTCACACCCGTGTGAAGCAGCAACCGCAAAAGCCATACCCTTTTGGTCCTGAACATGACTCGGGCACAAGGCAGAAAAAGGGAGTGATGTGAAGATTCAGTACAACCCATGCTCCTCCTCCTGTGATCCACGCAAAAACTTTTTTTTCCCTAAAAAAGAGGACTCAAGAAGTGGAATTTGGATTACAGGCCAGAAAGCCCATGGATGCTCCCTTACATGTGGCACTGTACTTTTATTTGACTGCATGTTGACCCCGTTGTGCCATTAATCACGCACAAAATGCTTCTCTTGCACCCGGTGCAGACGTCATTTCTGTAGTCATTTCTGTAGGCAGAGGCCCCACATATGAAAAGGTCTCCCAACTTCAACATACAGGTCGCTTCCAGCCACACTAGAGCCTCCGTTCCACCCAGTGCTACACACTGCACCACGCCTAAGCGCACCGCCCTGGGCATTACAACAGGAGCCAACGACAACCCAGATTCCCTCCACCCACCTGCCTGCCTTCCCTTGAACCACTAGGAAGCCCAGTGGGGGCTGATTTCTGAAGGCTCTCGGGCTCCCGCATCCAACCCTGCAGGCAGCTCAAACAACCGTTCTCTCAAATTGTGCAAAAACTGCTTCACCAGGCATAGGCCAGGTAAGCGTAGGGAGGTCACGAGCCTGAGTCGTTCCCATAAAACATTGTGGTGGGATTTATTTATTTACTTATTTATTTATTTATTTTGGGAAAGGGCCAAGCTAACATGCTGGAGAGAACAACTCAATACCAGTGTCCAAGAAGTAGGAGGGAAAACTCGGTAGGCAAACCACCTTTTCCCGCTTCTTCCCCCTTAACTCTCTCGCCTGCACACTTTAGTCGCCAGCCTGTTCCTCCAGGTGCCACAGAAGGGTGGACTTCCATGCCGCCCCCCCCCCACATTCCCTGGACAGATGACCTGGCGGAAGCCACGGAAGATACTCTGGAACATTTGGACTGCTGGCGCTTTTGACTCAAAAGTGGGCTCAGAACTGGTGGCTTCTGTTCCAGAGTTTTAGGAAAAACAGGACAGGAGAAGAAAAGAAGACGGATCGCTCAGCAAGACTTTGGCTGACCCAAACTCAATAAATCGGACGTTGACAATTCTTACTTTGGAAGGACAAAAAACAATTATTTTAAAGAAATCGGGACCCTCAACACAGAACTCTTCCCCAGGTTGACCTGACTTGTGTCTGTTCCATCGCTGGTCACCTTTGTGTCCACCTGCTTGGGTCTTTTCCCTGCCATCTGCATCACTGTGTCTTAAAATATATACCTCTCTCTTTCTCTCCCTCAAGGTTTTTCTCTCTGTGTGTATATCTGCTTTGCCCAGTTGTCGTTCCTCTGTTACCACGGTTATAAGAAAGAAAGAAAAAGGAAACGTGTTTTATATCCTCTTATAAAGGAAACTGAGCAAAAAAATAATAGTAATTTTTGTAAGTATGTTTAAATTAATAATACAGTGAAGCCGACTGAGAGGGCTTGCTGAATCCCATTCAGTCTTTTAAAACAATACAGTGTAATAATGTACAGAGAAAGTAGTTCGTGTTGAGAGAAAAATAATGATGATGATGATGTGGCAGTGGATTTATGTACATTTGCAATTAGAAAATATTAAAGATTTATTTAGCTATTTTATTCAAGCTTTCCCTGTGGCGCACTTATTTACTCCTCAGCTAACGGAAAGCTAGGCCAGAAAAATCTGCCTGCACTTCCCGCTTTCTCTTATTTTCAAAATTCCTTTTCCAAGCATCTCTCGGTGCAAGTAGAGGAGGATCTTGCCAGTATGCGCTTAACTGGTTGTGGCTCACCGGTGAGATGTCGGGACGTGTCTCGGTGGCACGGCTGGTCACACGCCTGCAGTTGGGGGTCGGCACCTCATCGATTAGTCACAACTTAATGTGAGCCACACACACAAACACCAGCAGGATCCCAGCCTGGAGGGGGCCAGAGCCGACTGAAATATTTTTTTTTGCAAAGGAGGCTGGGGTTACAAGAAAAGAACCATTAGCACTCCCCCCCCCCCCGTCTCTGGCATCACAAAGTACAACAGCAACAAAGGAAATAGGAGGTGTGTTCTTCGAGCACCTATCATCCGTGGCTTGAGGCAGCTGCCCCAGTCTGCCTAACAGTAGAGCCAGCTACAGCCTCTCTTTTGCTCTGGCAAGAAAAAGACTGATATGACAAGTTTTTGACAGATGGGGAGCTCTTGTCAAATCCCTCCCTGCACCCCACCCCACCCAGCTCCCCGTTTTGGAAAGCTAGATCCCGCAGCCCTTTTTTGGATTGACGTCGCACCTTTGGCAGTAATGATGATGGTCATGTCCAATTAATTGCCTAAGAAAAGGGGGAGGGGGGAAAGTTTCTGGAAACCAGACACGGTGGGGCAGGGGAGACGGAGGGGGGGGAAATAAAACCTCCCTCTGGCTTCTTGGCATGCTATGAAGAACGCTTGCCTTAAATTGGAAAGACAGTCCAATTTACACATAAAGGCAACACATTAATATTTTACTCCAGAGAGCGCGGAGAGCGAAGGCAGCTGTCTAGTTTTGGAGGGGGCATCTGTGGGGGGGGGGACACGGTGGGGCAGGGGAGACGGAGGGGGGGGAAATAAAACCTCCCTCTGGCTTCTTGGCATGCTATGAAGAACGCTTGCCTTAAATTGGAAAGACAGTCCAATTTACACATAAAGGCAACACATTAATATTTTACTCCAGAGAGCGCGGAGAGCGAAGGCAGCTGTCTAGTTTTGGAGGGGGCATCTGTGGGGGGGGGGCCAACACTCTGGAAGAGAAGAGAGAGGATTTGCTAAAAGCTGGGCCATGATGCACACACACAAAGGGCGTCAAGGAACTGAGAGAAAGAATCTTAAGTCATGGAAACGGGGGGAAACGGCTTATTTTAACGCTTTCAGATACAGCTGGTCAGAAACCACAATTGGGGGGTCCATTCAGAAAGCACAGGTAAAGCCACAGGACTCAAACTGGCCCGTTTCAATTGCCATTGCACCAAAAGAAAGGGACGAAGTTTCTAGTCCCCAAGCTGCAAGGCATATAGGAAAGGGGAAGAGGATGCCAAGGTCCACGTCCAACCAGCTGAAACTTCTCCAGCCTCTGTGGCTCCTTTTCTCTGCCCCTCCATAGGATGTGCATTCTGAATTAGGCCAGAGCGCTTCCCGATTTCTTTCAAGGTTGCAGAATCGGGCTTCGTTGGGGACAGGAGACTCATTGCAGCCACAAGCCATGAGCGACCTTGAAGCAAACGCCGCCTTTCTCCCTCTGGCCTTGGGCTCCGATGCCAGCCAAGGAACTGATGGGGCTGGTTGTCTGGCAGCCCCAGAGGGTGCCCACTTGTGCCCAAGACACCATCCAGACAAGCCTGTGCCGGAGATACCGCGGGCCGCTTTCCAGCTTTGTCGTCGTCGTCATTCCCCCCCCCCCAGGCCTGGCCATGCAACCTCCTTGCCACCAGCAAAACTCCCCGTCTTCTTGGCAATCTTATTTTGATCTCAGCA